CTGATTTACTACTCCTTGTTCAACAGAAAGCTCAGTTACTTGGCAATGGGTATTTCCAAATTACTAGTCTGGTGCACAAATTCATAAAGTCTTTCCAAAGAATTTGACAACAGTACATGCTACTTTAATCGCTCAATACGTACAGGCAATCTTAAGTGTAAGGAAAAAAAACCACACACACCCACCCACCCAGCTTTAAGGTGCTGTTTAATTAATTTAAAACAGAAAAAAAAAAAAGGGGGTGGGACAGGCAATGCAAACCAATAAACAAACCCAAGCAATAAAACAGTCCTAATTGCAGAGATGAAACCCTCTTATTTGTGATGTTGTTCCTTCATTTGTAGTAATGCTTTCAGACAGTTTCCTTGCAGTCAGGTTTCTACCAAAGAGATTAATTTAAATACCAAAATGGTTATGAGAGGTGAAGATCACTGAAAGTAGCTACCAAGTGTATCAAAACACCATTACATGCTATCTTTTGTGCGAGCTCACATTAAACAAAATGCGAGGTGCATGCTCTGCAGTCTCAGGGTGCTTGCAGATGCGATTTCAGTATTTCTCCCCTTTATAAACTTAGTAATAAGCAGCATCTATGGAGAGAAGATTGCTTATTCTTCTGATGGAATCTGTAACCCACTTCACGTTATTGGGAAAGGTTAATTCTGCTCAACAACATGCTGTGTCCTTTGGTATCTGATTTTATGTACCATTCCATGGATAGCTGGTTTTAACAGTTCATTTATTTTTCTTCAAGTGCAGCTTTTGAAACTGAATATTTTGAAGCTTACCCTGGAAGCAGATAGCATCAGACCCCTTGTATGAGGGCAAATACCCACAATGAGAACATCCAGTTTATACAAAAGAAGTCTACAATGAGATACTCTCTGAAGCATGAAGATTATGAGATACAAAGAGACAGACATTGGAAAGAAAAATAGTAATTGAACATAGTGCATAACTATCCACTTCAGAATTTCTGCAGTATCCCCTGAACTATTTAATATTGGTCAGGAATTCAAAGTAACCATACACATGTCACTGATTCATGATGCCAGAGAGAAAAGCTCTGGGACCATTCATCACTTGCCAGCAACCCATAAAAACTTGGGTAGATAGCGAGGAATGTAACAGTTAAGAGGCCCATATCAGTTTGGGACTTAGTAAACTTTCAGAAATAACCAGGGAGTTACATTCAAGATAACATAATGCTCAAGAGAACACATTCAATGCTTCAAATTGATAGGGGATCTCAAGGAATAAGAAATCAGCAGCGTGAACCAATTCATCTATTCTTATGTCAACACAGCATAATTCTATGAAAGGAAAAGGAATTAGTATTTTATATTATTCCCTCTACATTTCTGTTTGTTAAAAAGTTTACTGAGAATATAAAATGAATAGGAAACATAAATAATGCATGAATTTCTAAAATAAAATAGCCTAGCGCTTATTTAACAGAAACACTGTAAATTCAGCAAGAGAGGAAGTAAATTATTTTAAGCAGGTTCCCTTGATATAGATCCAAATATTCACATGAAATTAAATTACAGCATCTCTTCTGTTCCCTAATAATCACTGGGAAATAAAGGTCATTATTTTACATTCCCTGGTGGCTTGTTGAAGTCATTGGAAAGGCAGTGGGGATGGATCTGACTTTTTATCCTATTTACACTACTTGTAAAACCCAAGAGTCAAAGCTGTTTGGTCGTGGGTTTTTTAATGCACAATTTAACAACAGCATCATTAAATTAACACCACCATGAAATGACAAATATCAAATGTAAGGCTGTATATCATAAAAAAGGTGTCTTATGAATTATTTTTACCTCTATTTTTTTTTTTTCCCAGGGGAAATATTTGGTGTATGACCTCTGTTTTTTCTAAGACTACTAGTCAATTTTTTAGCATCAGGAAATAAAAGACAAGGATAAAACAAGCTGACCTACAATAGTCACCATATTATTACTGCTGCCAATAATAATGGCTGCAAAGCTTTACATAATACTTATTTATGTGATACCCCATATTATTTAACCTTACACTTGAGTGTTTTTCCCAGTAATACTGTTCATAATATCTTGTTTCATTATCTTCTACTAAAGAAAACAAAAATGAGTTCCTTTTGGTTCTTCATGCAAGAAGGACAAAAGACTTGCTAAGCACCTCTCAAACTATTTCCTTGACCATTGGAAACAATTTATACATTCAGTGGGCAAGTACTCTAACACTCTCTGCATTCACCAAAACAAAAAATAATTTTACTTATGAAGAACTTAATAGGTATCTGATGAGAAATAAATTGGTGATATGACTATATACTTTCCATATTCAAATCTGATTCATGCACTCGTACACATGCTCATAAATTAATAATATAAAACTCAAGGCAGGGAAACAAGATGATTAGCTGGTAAGTAAAATTAACATCTGTCATTCCATATTCCTGTACATTCAGTTTTCACTGATACAATATACTATCTTTTACTGTCACACACTTCAAGAACTAAAAGGAAGTTGTAAGTGGTATGATGAAGTGTATCAAATAAACAGTCTCAATGCTGACTAGCTATTCTCCAAGCCTTCTACCAAATATCAAAAAGAACAAGATTTTTTTTGTGTTGCTTTTTGTTTAAAAACTTCTGCAAGTTTTCTATTTTAACTGAGAAGTAAAGTAAACCAAGACCAGCATGCCCTGTCTCAAGTTTTCCAGTCAGCTGCAAACTTTTTCTAAAATCATCACTAATCTGCAAATTGTCTGGCTTAAAGTGCTTTCAGCAGAGGAATCAAAGTGTATGCATAATGCTCCATACTTCCTCAGAAATAAGAAAAAAATGTTTTGAAGATTTCACAGTTAAATCACAAGTTTCTCAAGCAGCAAGCGCTCATTACTAGCAATCTGTTCAGCATATAGCATGGCACACTGATCCTCACAGAGACCTCTGTATTCTATAACAGCATGCAGAAAACTGCAGTAAGAGAACTGGAGAATAAAAACCAAGCATCTTTGACAAAGATGATACTTTAATAGTTGAACTCCAATAATAATTAAATAAATTCCACCAACAGGCAGATCAAACTTTTTAAAAACAGAAAAATTCTAAGTTTGCTGAATTTTCTTATTCAAATATCACTACTATGATAACTGTGTGTCCTCAATGCTCTGAGCACGAGCATTCAGTTTGCCGAACAAACAGAATGTGGCTATTTCAAACTCAGTGAAAAGCTGGATGTAAGTGATTTCCCATCAAGAGCAGCTTCTCTACACATGAATACTATTTGCCACTTTGTTTATGATTCGATGATTGCATTCTACTAAACTTACAGCCGTTTGTAAAATACTTGTCCATGAGACTGAAATCCCACCCAAGTCTCTGACCCTGCATTGTGATCCAACAGCTCAGCTGTACAATCCATGTATTCCCACTGAACATATACTGAAATAGAACAAGAATTCTTTCTATTTGACTTGTCTTTTTTAATTTAATAACATTTTTTTTTCCTTTTTACTCTAATGACTTTCCTACAAGATACAAATTAACACATTACATGGAAAGACCAAATTATAAACCATAGAGAGGCCAGAAACTTCTAAAAATTAAAAAGGAAGTGACTTTTCCAACAAAAAAAAAACCAACCAAACAAACAAACAAACAAAACAAAAACAACAAAGAAAAAAACGATAAAACAAAAGGAAATTATGTATATTATGAAAGTCTAACCAGTTGGAAAAATAAAACCTTCACCTATTCATTGCTTTTCCTTTTTGTAATAGCTCAGAATAATCTTGAAACTAAACTGGAAAGCTATTAATTTGAAACATTAAGTAAGTAATTAACGTTCTGGTAAACATCTTTAAAGTGGTAAATACTGAACAGTCACCTCACTATTCCATCTACCCAGGAAAAAATACTCAACACGAAGCAAAAAATTTTGCACTTCTATAGGTTTAGGTGGTATTAACTATGCAACTGTACAATATAAATGTTTATGATTTTGCCACTTTAAAATATTTATGTAAACAGAAACAGTGGGAGACAATTCTATGGTTATGTACTCCTAGGAATAAGAGAATTTTATGTAAAAACCTTCCAGGATTAATGAATTTGCTCCAATCTGAGTCAGAAAATCCTTTTCTTCACTTCCCTAAGTACTCATAAAAGGAAGGAAAACCAGGACAGACATAGTCATTGGATGAATTTGAGCTAGTTAAACCTGCACAATATTTAAAAATTCCACTACTGAGGTTAACCCTTACCTCACTTCTTTATTCATTAATGACTTCCAAGAAAGGAAGAAAGTAACTTCATTGCTTACATGGATTTTTTTTTAAATGCTTATACAAGAACACACTTAAAACTTCTTTAACAAAGCTACATCTGAATAATATGAATGAAAGCATACTGTAGCTTCATCAGTATGGAAACAAAGGGAAACAGAATACAATAACAAACAACAAATGTGACAAGTCTGATGTATGATGTATTCTGCAAGAGTTTCTCAGGGGTCATGAATTTGGTTTCTCTTCTTACCACTTATTTATCATATTTCTGGATTACTAGTATACATTCACCGGACAACATTCATAAAGTATTTAAGTACATATAAACACTGACCTACATTTCCACGATATGTTTTTTGTTTTCAGTTTACTTTATTGCTATGCCTTGTGACTAATAAGACAAGATGGGGGAAAGGAAAGGTACAGCAACATTCAAATGTTATTTTGGGGTGGGGACCAGAGAAGGAGGAAATTGTGAGAAAATAGTTTTTAGATCAATGCAGAAGTATTTTGCTGAACATTCCATTAAAAACTGCTACAGTCTGTGCTAGCATTTTTGCCTTTGCAGAATTTCAAGGGATTTTTATGGAATACTTAACATCTACTACACAAATAAATAAATTAAAAAGATAAAAATAGCACTTCAGGAGGAATACAAAAAACCTGTACTTTTTAATACAAGAAGAGGCCCAATGCAACATATTATTGCCAGCAAACTTACCAGTCGTCTCCTCTCCTCTTCAACGGCAATCAGGAGCCGAGCAAACTCTTTCAGCGACTGGGCTGAAAAGAAATCAAAGAAAAAGAACATCAGAACATCCTGGTCAAAATTACATTTTAAGACCAGATGAATCCATTATCTGGATTGAAGCTGTAGTGATAAGATACTGTTCTTACATAATACTTCACTGAAATCAGTAGTCATTAAATGATGCACAGACTGATGCGAGCAGCAGGTCAAGAGTAGGTGAATAACAAGGGAAAAGAACCTGAATTTTAAGAATCATATGTATTTAAAAAATAAATTTTTAAATGGAATGTGGGAAACTGATTTTCCTGAAATGTGCAAAGATGAGTCTCAAAATAAAGAATTCTACAATCAGCCACAAAATTTACTTTAGCACATTAGGATCAAAAAGAAACCGCAAATAAAAATACTGAGTTTCTCCTATTAAACTGCAGTAACAAATATTTTCAAGAACTATGAAAAATATCGAGGTAAAAATTTGAAAGTCAACGTTTTAGAAGAAATGCATTACTTATGCCAACTGTTTAGGTTTAACAGTTCTTTGGCTTTATGTTTTACAAAGACAAGCTCTCAGGTGACAAGAACAGATCATTGGTTTACAAGTAAGCTTTGAATTCTATTACAACTGTGAGAGAGTCTTTGCTCAAAAATGCCTTCAAATATAATTCAAAGGGCTATAGGAGATGTCAACAGAAATATAATAAAAGTATTATCCCATAAAAGAAGGCAAGAAAGGGGAAGACGAGTGGTGCAAATCTCTCTAGAAAAATCTATCTTTCCATTTATATTACTTTCTGAAGGACATATGGGTTATTCAGAATTCAGCATCACAGTTCCGCAGGCAAAAATGCCAGAGAAAAATCATGTGAAGAGAGCTAAGTGGCTCTTTTTACTTTCTCCTGATGCATCTGGCAGTAATTGCTGCCAATGACAAGATGCTAAATTTCATGGTTTAAAGCTCTGATCTCAGAATGCAAATTCATAAATCCTACAGCTATTCACAACAAACTTGAGGCAATCTAAATCATCTTTTAAAGAGGAAAAAAACAAGGAAACAAAACTTGTAGAAGTTCTCAAAAGAATAGGTTTGAAAGTCTTCATAGTTAACCAACATACACTGCTGAAGGAATGATAACAGAACTCCTGAGCTCTTAGCTATTTCTCCATCTTTACTGTTTTTACAAAATGTGTCAATCTCCAATGACACAGCTTCATCCCTACTCAACTTCCCTGAAAGATGTAAGGAAATAAGCACATTTTGTAGAGGATCTGCTGTGTTCCAGTACCTTCTAAGTGGGAAGCAGTATCTAGCTTGCCTTAACTGCCCTGTAAGCGTTCACAAATTGCTTAGTTTTTAAAACACAGCCAAACCATTTTTATCCTTATCCCATCTGGACCCTGCAAAAGTCACCCTTTCATTCTTCTTTCTCTCTTTTAACTTTTCCAGCTGAAGAACACTTTGCTGTTTGTTCTAATTTCTTCTGCAAGACCTTACATAGTCTATTTTTTGCAACTATAATGCTACACCTGCGTATCTTGACCTCTAAGTCATTATTTGTTAACAAATTCTTTTTTCACCATTATTACTCATAAGCTCTTTGTGCAGTCCAAATACACCTAAAAAGTTAAATGTCCATCTGGTTGGATTTGAGCCTTTTCCTTTAATATTTTCCCCTGAGAACACAAACATCAGAAAATTTTGCCACCTTTTAAGTAAAAGAAATTCTAGGCCTCCTGCACCAGCTTCTGAACTCCTCGACTTAGGTTTACCAGCTGAGCCTTTCATTTACTGACTTTCAGTTACTTACCAGCTCAGGCTTTATCAGAGTTACATCTTGGTATCAAGAACTTAGTTTGCTATCCACTGAACTAACTCAGTCTCTTAAAGTCAGCTCATAATATCCCATCTGTCAAAACCAGGTAAAGAAAAATAGATTAGGAACTGGTTGGTTAAGTTACCTGATAAGAAACCTGTTGAGTGTTACATTCAAGAATATCTATGTTCCCATTACAAAACCCTAAAAACTAAATAAACAATGAGCCAAGCATACAACAAAACTGTTTCTTATTTTCGCACTGGTTTTCCCCAAAATTTAACAAGAAACAATCCTTCCCTGTACAAAACAGGGCAGAGACAGTTCATCCCTTGCACATGTGGCAGAGTGATTTCTTTACCCACTGTTAAAAAAAAGTTATTTTTTTCAAATAAACTAGATAAACATATTGTTTGAATTTATTACCTATTTAGGGAATTAGGATGCACTTCAGAAAAACAGCTGACTTTCTAGTAAAGCCAGCAAGAAAAATTGTTTCCAGATTATTTCAGTGAAATAATTGGTCATTTTTAACCACAAGATGATGTGTTACTGCAATCACATGTTAAAACTCCATTCCCCCCCCCTTTTTTTCACTTTTTTACCATGGAGTCACTCACAATGACAGAAGTATTTCAAAGAGAAATGATCATACCAAGCATTATAACTTTACAAAACCACCAGATTCAAAACCTACTGAAATTTAAGTTTTCCCTATCCACATCAAGCCCTCTGGTACTCTTCACATAAGTTTCTGAACACATCATTAAAACCATCTTTAATACAACAAAGGCTCAAGAAATCTTTTTTTCTTCATCGTCTGCAATAAGAAAGTTAACACTTTACACCTTTCAGCAGCCAAGCACAAATACTGTCAGTTCTCAGCTCCAAAGCATGGGCAAGATTTTATCCAAATCAAATAGAAAGGGTGGGGAACTGCAAGTAAAAGCAATACAGTTGTGAAGAAAAAAAAAAAAATCCTCTCTGGTCAGGCAATATTGAGCGTTTTAGCAACAAAGAGATAGTAAAAGAAGAACAGCAGGTAGCAGAAACTGGGCAGAAAGATGACTAGAAACTAGGAGGAGGAGGCAAAAAAAAAAAAAAAAACCAAAAAAAAAAAAAAACCAAAAACCAAACAAACCAGTAAGAGAATTCATATTCCTAATTTCAAGGTAGATCCAGAGGGTTTTCTAGTTTCAGAGATTAAACTTTTCCTTAGAATTTAAATAAAACAAGGAGAAACCAAGAAAAAAACTATAAAAATATGTTCTGTAAGTGTGCAAATCAAGTTTTTCCTCAGTGTTTAACACTAATATAAAGGCACTAATATGTCACCTATACAATGCCTCAGCTAAAGACTGAGAAGCTGTCTACATCTTCTTGTCCCCATTGCCTCAACTTTGAGGGGGATTATAAAGGTCAAAGTTTCACTAAGAACACAGAACCTACACTCTTCAGCAACCCGAAGACAAACCATTCCCCTGATCCTAGAAACACTTTCACTGCAGACACACCTTGGCATCAATACTGACTATGCCTTCACTGTTCACTGCCCAGCACCACCATCCATACTTTTTCCACTGGTCAATGGCCACGAAGCCATGAAGCGTCCTTTCCCAGATAAGGAGGTGGAAGGGGAGAACATGTGCACCGTGTAATTCAGGCCATAATGAAGGATGCATGCCTAGTACGCAGACAGAGCTCAGCAACATGGAAGTCTCTGGTGACCCCACTGATTTGTCTGCCCTTGAAATGGCACCACATAATGTCAAAAAAGGCTTTACCACCACCAGTTGTCCAACAATACCAATGAGTATTGCAGTACTTCTGAACCTTCCATGCTATATTACACCCTTCTTCCCACATAGCACCCACCCCACTCAGTTGGATCCTATTAAAAGCCACAGTCTGTCCCCAGAGACCTTCATCTGTGCTGGAAGCTGCAGTAGGAGGTGGTAAAGGGAAAGCAAGGCCACCCTTGCTCCTCTTTTCCTAGTGTACACCTTTCCCTTCTTCTTTCCCTCTTTTCCCACAACCTCCTCTGGTTGCAGACAGGCAACAGCTCCGCCTCAACTTGGGGACTGGGCTGGGCAGAGGGAATGATACACAGCACAGAGCTCACCATGGGGTGTCAGGCCGCCCCAGGATGACCTCTGGACATCCCCAGAGAGGTGGGCAGTGGCCTCGTTCTCCTCCACGACCAGGCCCCCTCTCACCAGCAACCCTAGGCATATAATAAACACATCTAGTTCTGCATTCCCAATTCTCAACAGGAAGCAAACAAATATTTCAGTAATAATAATCTGAGTTCGTTTTCCATAGTTAAAAACCAGAAGATTCCCATTTTTAAAAAGAAAACAGGAAGACCCGGGGAACTACAGGCCAGTCAGTCTCACCTCTGTGCCCAGCAAGGTCATGGAGTGGATCCTCCTGGAAACTATGCTAGGACACATGGAAAATAAGGAGGTGACTAGTAACGGCCAACATGGAGTCACTAAGGGAAAAATGTGCCTGAGAAATTTGGTGGCCTTCTATGGTAGGTTTACAGCATTGGTAAAGAAGGGAAGAGCAACTGATGTCATCTACCAGGACTTGCACAAAGCACTTGACACTGTCCTGCATGACATCCTTGTCTCTAAGTTGAAGAGACATGGATCTGATGGATGAACCGCTCAGCAGAGAAGGAACTGGCTAGATGGTCAGACTCAGAGTTTCAATCAACAGCTCAGTGCCTCAGTGGAGAGCAGTGACAAGTGGCGTTCCTCAGGGGTCAGTATTGGGACCAGTGCAGTTTAACATCTTTGTTTGTGACATGGACAGTGGGATCAAGTGCACCCTCAGCAAATTTGACTACGTCAAGCTGTGTGGTGCAGTTGACATGCTGGAGGGAAGGGATGCCATCCAGAGGGACCTTGTCAGGCTGGAGAGGTGGGCCCGTGTGAACCTCATGAATTTCAACAAGGCCAAGAGCAAGGTCCTGCACAGAGGTTGAGGCAATCCCACGCACAAATACAGGCTGGGCGATGAGTGGATTGAGAGCAGCCCTGCAAAGAAGGACTTGGGGGGAGCAGTGGAAGAAAAATTGGCTATGAGCCAGCAATGTGCACTTGCAGCCCCCAAAGCCAACCATGTCCTGGGCTGCATCAAGAGAAGTGTGGCCAGGAGGTCGAGGGAGGTGATTCTGCCCCTCCGCTCCACTCTCCTGAGACCACACATGCAGT